GTATGCAGCAAAGCATTTGTGAAGCCACAACACACACAACCTTGAGGCGGATGGGCTACAACAGCAGAAGACCCCACCGGGTACCACTCATCTCCACTAGAAATAGGAAAAAGAGGCTACAATTTGCAAGAGCTCACCAAAATTGGACAGTTGAAGACTGGAAAAATGTTGCCTGGTCTGATGAGTCTCGATTTCTGTTGAGACATTCAGATGGAAGAGTGAGAATTTGCCGTAAACAGAATGAGAACATGGATCCATCATGCCTTGTTACCACTGTGCAGGCTGGTGGTGGTGGTGTAATGGTGTGGGGGATGTTTTCTTGGCACACTTTAGGCCCCTTAGTGCAAATTGGGCATCGTTTAAATGCCACGGCCTACCTGAGCATTGTTTCTGACCATGTCCATCCCTTTATGGCCACCATGTACCCATCCTCTGATGGCTACTTCCAGCAGGATATTGCACCATGTCACAAAGCTCGAATCATTTCAAATTGGTTTCTTGAACATGACAATGAGTTCACTGTACTAAAATGGCCCCCACAGTCACCAGATCTCAACCCAATAGAGCATCTTTGGGATGTGGTGGAACGGGAGCTTCGTGCCCTGGATGTGCATCCCACAAATCTCCATCAAATGCAAGATGCTATCCTATCAATATGGGCCAACATTTCTAAAGAATGCTTTCAGCACCTTGTTGAATCAATGCCACGTAGAATTAAGGCAGTTCTGAAGGCGAAAGGAGGTCAAACACAGTATTAGTATGGTGTTCCTAATAATCCTTTAGGTGAGTGTATATATATATATATATATATATATATATACAGTGATTAAATTGGGCCGGGGCTCTCCGGGGCTCAGCCCCGGCACATAAGCCTGCTCGTTTGCAGTCAGTTGCCTACTGGAAATTATGTCACATACAATTTGATGAAAGTGATGCTTTTGAAAACATATTTCTGACAATAAATGAAAGATTTTTGAAATGGCATGTCTATTTTGTCTCGGCGGAGCTGAGATGAGAACAATCGGAACACGGCCGTATTTTTGTTCAGCTGCTTAATCTCGTTGTCAGTCGACCATGATCGCGCACCGCTCGCGCATGCGCATCTGACACGGATAAATGTACGCAGCAATAATGAATGTTCCTGGGAGACCGTGGTTGCGCGGGATGTGGATGTTCCAGAAATGTCAAAAAAGTGCCCTGGCCTTGAATGACAAGGTAAGGAAAATAAGGGGGCTTTTACACTGGGCTCGTTTGCGTTTGCTCCGAGACCGAGCGCGTTTGTTCCCGGCTCCCCCCGCAGCGTTGGTCTGGTTTCACACTCAACTTGATTCTATCGAACCCTAGTGCGTTTGCGTGCATATTACGTCATCGCAAACGTGCACGGCGCATGATAGAAAACAGAACGTGGGGCAATATTGTGTTTTTTTATTAATTCGCTGCTATTATGCGCAGCTGAGTGAACAATACAGGTTTACTGTGCGTGTGTCACATAAGGTGGCCTTCTGCTGCTTGCAAACGGACTCTTTTGAGGAGACAGAGGATTTCCAAATTTGGTGCCCTGATTTCACGCGCAATGCACGAATACACTGGAGGCTCACTCTCGCTCGTATCCAAGGTAAAATCATCAACACTATCATCCCTTACAAGTGTTTTATTTAACTGAATACATCACAATAAGCTAAAACGCATGCGCAGGTTAGTTTACTTCCTGAACCAGTGCGCACCCGAGTCCGTGCTGCTTTCACATTCACACGAACCGCGGCACGGTTCGGGAGCAACCGACCTCAGACCACCTCCTCCAGGTAGTCTCGGGTTCGGTACCCCAGTGCGCACCCGGGTCCCATGACAGCGTTCACATTAGCGATTTTTCATGCGAACCGCGCCCCGTTCCGAACTAAACTGCCAGTGTGAAAGCCCCCTTAGACTAAATCAAAATTAAATAACCTGGACTAGGTTGACCATGTGATTTTTCTCAGGAGATGTTTTGAGCATTTTACTTCAGATACCGGATTATCAGCAAACTGCCAAGAGAACTGCTAATTTAACGTTAGCTGGCTACTTAAAATAAACTAGCAATCTATTCAGTCAGCATATTTGTATTTGATCTGTGTGAATTACAGAAATATAAGACTTGCTAGACTAAGTTACTTTTAGCTACCAAGCTCTGTGGTTAATGAAAATTAAATCAACCATTTATTCTCCAACTTTCAGAGACATTGTATGGGTCACTATATCATAACAAGGTAATACAACGTGTAATCAAGTGATGACTGATTAACAGTAATGTAAATGCTAAATGTCCTAATACCTGTTGCAAAGTAAATGCTCTTAACCTTGCCGTTTTTCACATATCATGTAATACTCAATTTCTCCATTTCTTTGCACAAAACTCTCCAGAAAGTGCTATTTAATGGTTTATTTTTCAAAAAAAAAATCCCGGGGGGGCATGCCCCCCGACCCCCCTAGAGAGAGCACCCCCACATAATAAATCCCAATTTAACCCCTGTATATATACACTCACCGGCCACTTTATTAGGTACCCCATGCTAGTAACGGGTTGGACCCCCTTTTGCCTTCAGAACTGCCTCAATTCTTCGTGGCATAGATTCAAAAAGGTGCTGGAAGCATTCCTCAGGGAGTTTGGTCCATATTGACATGATGGCATCACACAGTTGCCGCAGATTTGTCGGCTGCACATCCATGATGCGAATCTCCCGTTCCACCACATCCCAAAGATGCTCTATTGGGTTGAGATCTGGTGACTGTGGAGGCCATTTTAGTACAGTGAACTCATTGTCATGTTCAAGAAACCAATTTGAAATGATTAGAGCTTTGTGACATGGTGGAAGTAGCCATCAGAGGATGGGTACATGGTGGCCATAAAGGGATGGACATGGTCAGAAACAATGCTCAGGTAGGCCGTGGCATTTAAACGATGCCCAATTGGCACTAAGGGGCCTAAAGTGTGCCAGGAAAACATCCCCCACACCATTACACCACCACCACCAGCCTGCACAGTGGTAACAAGGCATGATGGTTCCATGTTCTCATTCTGTTTACGCCAAATTCTGACTCTAACATCTGAATGTCTCAACAGAAATCGAGACTCATCAGACCAGGCAACATTTTTCCAGTCTTCAACTGTTCAATTTTGGTGAGCTCTTGCAAATTGTAGCCTCTTTTTCCTATTTGTAGTGGAGATGAGTGGTACCCGGTGGAGTCTTCTGCTGTTGTAGCCCATCCGCCTCAAGGTTGTGCGTGTTGTGGCTTCACAAATGCTTTGCTGCATACCTCGGTTGTAACGAGTGGTTATTTCAGTCACTGTTGCCCTTCTATCAGCTCGAACCAGTCTGGCCATTCTCCTCTGACCTCTGGCATCAACAAGGCATTTCCGCCCACAGAACTGCCGCTCACTGGATGTTTTTTCTTTTTCGGACCATTCTCTGTAAACCCTAGAGATGGTTGTGCGTGAAAATCCCAGTAGATTAGCAGTTTCTGAAATACTCAGACCAGCCCTTCTGGCACCAACAATCATGCCACGTTCAAAGTCACTCAAATCACCTTTCTTCCCCATACTGATGCTCGGTTTGAACTGCAGGAGATTGTCTTGACCATGTCTACATGCCTAAATACACTGAGTTGCCGCCATGTGATTGGCTGCTTAGAAATTAAGTGTTAACGAGCAGTTGGACAGGTGTACCTAATAAAGTGGCCGGTGAGTGTATATATATATAAATCATGTTATTGTTCTTTATTATAATTGAATTGATGGTAATACAGTATTGAAATGTAATGATTTAATGATTAAAAAAATCTGATGAAAGAAGTCTCTTATGCTCACCAAGGCCGCATTTATCAATGTTTTCAAAAAAATAAAATTATAATTTAATATACTTTAAAATGTAATTTATTTCTGTTATGGCAAAGCTGAATTTTCAGCAGTCACATGATCTTTTAGAAGTCATTAAAACATGCTGATTTGGTGCTCAAGAAATGTTTCTTATTATCATCAATGTTGAAAACAGCTGTGCTGCTTAATATTTTTGTGATACTTTTTTCAGGATTTTTTAATGAATAGAAATAGCAAAAGAACAGCAATTATTTGAAATAAAAAGATTTTTGTATGATTTATAAGCTGTTTTCCTCATGGTGACCAAAAAATGGCCCCACAAGGACAAGGATTGCGATCTTTGTGGGGACATTGTCCCCCATAATTTAGGGTATACCTGAACCTACCACACACACACACACACACACACACACACAATCACTCAGTCCGCAGGAACTCAGCGCCCTGCTAAAGCGAGGTCATCCATTTCCTCTCCCTGGGATTTTAATAAAACTCTCTCATTGATAGCCTTTTGCGGAAAACCGCTATCCCTGATCACTAAAAGGCTTGGCCTACAGCAGGTTTCCATTCTTTCTTTTCATTTCGAGCAAATTCAAAGCATTGTGGTTTCTGAGCAGAGCAGTGAGACCTGTGGTTATTTACTCTGGCTGTTAGTAGATGATGTAAATGATCTTGCATAATGTCTTTAGTCTTTACATAATTCATATTCATATTAAGCAGGAGGTAGTGTCATGTTATAATTGGAGCTGCAAGGTTGTACAGTAGGTAATCTCAGCAGACATTGTGTTATGTGCAGCAAAATGTTTCCTTGAAAAAAAGTCGAAACTGAAATATATAACCTCATAAATCTAAATGACTAAACTACTAAAACATGCCACAACAACAACTATTTGTGCTTAACACGCCATAAAGAAGCCACCCATATGAATAGCCAGCTAGTGTAGCCCATGAGATCTGAATTGAGTTTGGTGCCAGTTATACATCAGACTATCCCACTGAATGACTCAGAGGGCTCTTCCACTCGCTTGTAAATCACATGGCGCATCTGATGCACTTCTCAATGACTCTTCAGCCTGGAGCAAGACCAACAAAAAGCCGGCACATAGAGAAATGTATCACAGAGCAACTAGGGAGCGACTGGGGTCTCTACCTTAACATACAGCTGCTGGAACTCATCCAGGTTGAGTCGGCCAGTTGGGCAATCCTTCAGGAAGCCTTTGTACCACTGTTTGAGTTCGTGTTCATTAAATTCTGTGTTCTTCACCAGGTCCTCCATTACCTCAGGGGTCAGCTTGCTGTTCTGTTTCCCCATGGTGTCTGCAGGAAAAAAAACAGCTGTGATCTCACTTTGAGCTGTAATTCATTTTAACTGCATAAACTATAGGCCATTTAAGTCCCTCACATATCGTTCAAAATGTTGGGATTGGTAAAAATGAAAGAAGTCTCTTATGCTCACCAAGGCTGCATTTATTTAATCAAATACAGTAAAAACAGTAATACTGTGTTATGTTTTATAATTTAATATATTTTAAAATGTAACTTATTCCTGTTATGGCAAAGCAGAATTTTCAGCAGTCACATGATCCTATAAAAATCATTCTAATATGCTTATTTGGTGCTCAAGAAACATTTCTTCTTATTATCAATGTTGAAAACAGCTGTGCTGCTTAATGTTTTTGTGTAGTACAGTGGTACTGTTTTCAGGATTTTGTGATGAATATATATTGCAAAATAACAGCATTTATTTGAAATAGAAAGACAGAATGTTTAAAACCTTACAAAATTCAGAAAAGATCACCTTCATAATCCCCATTAAAATCTAACTTAAAAGGCACGTTTCATAGAATGTAACATAAAATAGTTTCAATAAGTGCCAGAACAAGGAGGTGGTCTTTTCTAGAAGAGTCTGGATCCTCCCAAGGTTTCTTCTTCATTTCAAACATACTTTGGAGTCTTTCCTTGCCATTGTTGCCTTTGGCTTGCTCACTGGGGTAATTCTTTATATATAGGCTATATATATATATATATATATATAAGTACAAACTAGGGCGGCACGGTGGCTCACTGGGTCACAGCAAGAAGGTCCCCGGTTCAAGCCCCGGCTGAGTCAGGAGTCCTTTCTGTGTGGAGTTTGCATGTTTTCCCGGTGTCAGCGTGGGTTTCCTCCAGTTGCTCTGGTTGGATTGGACATGCCAAAATAGCCGTAGGTGTGAATGCATGTGTGTGAATGCATGTGTGTGAATCCAAGGCCATGTAATGGGGAGAGTTGGGAAAAGACCTGGCAACCTATCCTTGGCAAAAACATTGCCAAGAAAATTCATGGTCTCTCGCGTATGGCATGGAATAGAGTCGGATACGGCTGGAATGGTAGATGAGAGAGACTATACAAATTGAATGGGATATTAAGTCATTTTGCTAAGCGCACACACACTAATATACTAAATGTACATGGGTGGAAATACTCATTTCATAATTAATATCATGGCTAAAATAAGACTAAGCAAGCCGTGCAGTTGAATAAATATGATGGCTTGAGTGATTCATTGTGGATTATATAATTTCATGCTGGCTGAATACATTTAAAGTAGGCTTAGATCAATGGAACAAACACACTCTGACCAAACGTCTGAGACCACCAGTGAAAATGTTTGCTGCAGATTTTTTTTCCTTGAAAGATCTTGTCAAAACATGGTGATGTTAACACATTAGAGAAAGTGAGAGAGAACCTAGAAAACGTTACAGAATAGACTGTGTCAGTGCATAATATCTCACTAAGGATGAGAGCATCCTTTATCAGATTAGGGTCAAAATCTCACTGTTAACTAACTACAACTTTTGCCTCAATAAACTCCTAATTACTGCTTATTTATAGTTAGTAAGGTAGTTGTTAAGTTTAGGTATTGGGCAGGATTAAGGGATGTTAGAATATCACGCAGAATAAGGCATTAATATGTGCTTTATAAGTTCTAATAAACAGCCAATATCCTATGCATGCTAATAAGCAACTAAATAGTGAGAATTGGACCCTAAACTAAAGTGTTACTGAAATCCATAATTTCAGCTTATAATTATAATTTTTTACAAATTTGCCTGTGCCTTTAGAGGATGTATAGTATTTTATTCTGCACACATTTGCTTGTAAGAGCGGCCCGTAGCCCTTTTCCCCCTAGATGGCTAGATGTGTGCGTAACTGTCAGGGAAATGAGATAATTAAACAAAGCATCATTCGCATAATTACCAAAAGGTCATCACTTCCTAAGCTTCAATGTGACATTTCCTTCTTCTTCTTTTTGCAAATCTAAAAAGCCGATTCCTTCTGCTACATTAATATTGGATACAATGAAAACACAGAGAGACAGACGGAGATAGACAGAAGCAGGGCAGCAGTGCTGTGGATGAAATTCTGAGTAATTCTGACGCTTTTTAATTTGTTCACCACTACTAAATCATAGAGATGAGCTCTCATCACACTCATCGAGGCTCACGTAAATACTAGATGAGAACATTGCACTTCAAAGTTCATTAAAATTCATTTTCAGTCTGAGAATGACAAACGAGCAGCGATGCTGACGATAATGAGCGCTAATTTAGTTTCCCACACAACAGCATTTTATTTTTCGAGCAAATGGCTGAGTAAAGGACATAAATCTTGATTGTTCTCTAAAGACATGGATGTAGAAAATACTACAAAACTACAGTTTATCCATGAGATGAGAAATGAGAACACCAACCCATGCACAGCATCAGATTGTGAGTCGGTGAGCTTTTAATGGCAGGAGCGTAACCCTCCCTGATCTGCAGAGTGCATTGGAAGCCCACTTTCCTTGGGGAATACCATTCTTAATGAGGGATCCACCCATGAGAAAAAGCACAGCATAGCAGATTCAAGAGTGCTAAAAACAGCTGCCCTGAAACTGACTATGAATCAGCAGCGATAATGCATCGTTGTACCGCTCGTTCCCTCTTTGTGAGTGTGATTTATGATTTCAAACAAGTTAGATAATCAGCATCGTTCCTAGTTGAATCCTCCTCGAGATGATCCCATCATTGTCAAAGATTTACATGATTTCTGTCAAGCCGCAAAATTGAAGGTTCAAATGATCCAATAATTGGTTAATAGGAATTCCAAAAAAAAAAAAAGTTTGTTCTCCTGCTTGCAAATGAAAATTCAATCATCATTTACTCACCCTGATGTCATGTGAACACCATATGACTTTCTTCTGAAATTTCAGTCGCACACAAATCTATCATATGGGTTTGTCCTTTTTGGAGTTTTACAGCCCCTGGTCACAATCCATTTTCGCTGTATAGAAAAGAGCAGCTTCATGAAAGAAGAAGTCATATGGGTTTGAAATGGCATGAGTAAATGATGACAGAACGTTCATTCTTGGCTGGATAGTTTCAATAAAGGGATAGATGGCCCAAAATGGCAAATTCTGTCATCATTTACTCACCCTCATGTCGTTCCAACCCTATAACTTTCTCTCTTTGCTGTGGAACATTTAAGAAGATATTTAGTGTGTGTTCGTCCATACAATGGAACTGTTTGATTACTAACATTCTTTAAAATATCTTCTACACCGAAGAAAGAAAGTGATACAGGTCTGGAACATGAGGGTGAGTAAATGAATATTCATTCATGGGTGAACTGTCCTTTAAATTTAGACACTCACCAGTCTAAGCTGTCCAAATTCGAGGTTACTTTCCATAAACTCCATGTGGCACAATGATCAAAAATAGAGAAATTGCAAATGCAGTAATTATTTCCAATTCCTACTGTTAAATCTTTTTAAGAGCCCTCTAACAATTGCATGAGAATCTTTTGTCTCAGGGTTGTAGAAGTTGTCCTCAAAACTAAGACTCGTTTCAGTTCCAAAAGCTTTAAAAGACTTCAACTTTTAGAATTTAATTTGCCCAGTATAAATAATAATAAGATCCATAAATGAGATATTGCTACTCGTTGCATCATTCTAGGCGAATTAAAAAAGTCTGAACAATAAGGTCCGTCATCTGTACATGAAGCACTGATCTACCTACTGATGCTGTTGCAAAGAATTGGTCACTGCAGGCAATAAAAGGAACCGAAGAGCCTGTCTATCTACAAAGCAATAGTCCACTCCATTTTCCATTTAGGCTGCATCAGTGCTATTTCTGCTGCAACAGGAGACCAGAGAGAATACTCTGTCCCCTGTGACTATAACGCTCAGGTTGAATCGATCTTTTAAAATGATTTTCCCTTTTCACGCGACACTGCTGTAATGCAGATAGATGAAACTGATCTTTGGCGTACACACAGACTAGCAGTGGTGTATTCAAAGTAGTAGCAACGAGGTAGAACACACGCCATATTCTGATTTAAAATAGTGCTTGAGCTCATCTTGTTTGTACCACAGAAAATGCTGTTTTATGAATGATCAACACAACGATGCTGTGTTATGTTGTACAAGCATTCGTGTCACCTAAGAACTGACTAGCAGGCGTTATGATGACTATGCAAACTGAGTCGTGTCCAGAGATCAAAAGGCGTTTTAAACCCTGAGTCGACTCATTACAACAGTGTTCACATCCACACAAGCCTGACAGATTATGTCACATGTGAATTTAGCTAGCCAAGTGATTTAGCACATCCAGCTTATTTGGAAAGACACATTATATAACAAACATTTACTTTATTTCATTATTTCACAGCATCACCTTGAGGCTGTAAGATTGTGGGTAGCTGATTATAGGAAATACATGTCACTTTGCTTTTATCGCCCTTGTACATTATAGCTGCATTGATCCTGCAGTGTACAAGAAACTGTTTTAGTAGTGAGGAAAGTCTTTTTTTTTTTCTTTTTTTTTATCTATAAAAACAGCAACAACACAGTATTATGATACCCCCCCCCTAGTCCAAAAATCCTAAAGTAATCTTGTTGGAATTTCATTATCATAATTTGAAATCAAATCTAAGTCATGACAATGGGAATCCATCATAACAAAACAAAAACTAGTTATTTTAGAACAAATAGTATAGGAGAATTATGGTTATCAAAAGGATAAACTGCCCCGTAGGACATCAATAATTTATTTTAAATTCATTTTCTGAATTTTAATGCTCGGTTGGCTTTGGGGTTTTCTTTAACTGTCCAGAAGAAAAATGGTATGCATTCACCAAACTGTGCAGACAAATACATTTCTCACAGAGCCCTAGTATGACTGTAGCTATGACACAGCTGTCTCAGACATGTACACCTGGGGCCATTGTCAACCAGTGTCCATTTTATTTGACATAAGTTCACATTTTTTACCTCAACTTTACTACTGTGTCCTTTAGTTGTTTTAACTCATGGCATTTGTGAAATCAACAGACACTGATTAATATAAATTTTGCTATAGCCTATAACATAAGAAAGTGGTTTACCAGGGTGAGGAGTTATGCAAAAGTGTTCTGAAATATCATAAACCATGCACATTACATCCTCTGTGACGAATCAATGCATTGCAATGCTGCAGATAGCCTAAATGAGCCAGCTCAACAATCGCCACGTCAATCCATAACGACTTTCTAAAGGTTGCTTATTCCGGCGAAAACACATAGTCATAGATGGGCTTACCGTAAAGGAGAGCCAAAAGAAGGTCTGGCGATTCCTGCTTCGGGCGACTGTAAAAGGTAAACGCAATGGAAGTGCTCACTAATCTGCTGACAGCTGCGGTGAGGTTTCTTTGGGGTGAAAGGAGAGGCGCAGCGATTACTGCAGCGAGGACAGTCCACGCGCAGCGCTCGAGGTGATGTGACACTACGCTAACGCTATAGAGATACAATAGAGCTCAGGCAGCGACGGTCTGTGTTCATCACCACACCAACCCATCTCGTGTTTGTCCACTGCTCTGTGGTGTGTGTGTGTGTGTGTGTGTGTGTGTGTGTGTGTGTGTGTGTGTGTGTGTGCAAATTCTGACCGAACTCGAATAGAACAATGATTGAAAATGGCACCTGCAAGTCAGCTAGTAGATGTGAAAGTCTTCGAGATCCACACATTCCTTGGTGGTTTCTATTATTTAGCATTCTTGAATCTTGTTAATTATGCTATGTGTGACTTATACAATGGCTTTGGGTGCGTTTTTAAAAATGATGATCACAAGAATACACAAACGTCAACTTGACTAATTCGTATTAGGCCTGTGAATTGTAAATGTAAAAGGGCAGTCACATTTGCGAAATTTCGCGGGTAAAAAAATAAGCTTTGTCTGATTGTCAATAAGCGATGTCGCAGAGAGGTCAATTTTCAAATAAAGCAGCTTTTTGATTTCGCGTAAACAACCCTTTACTAAATTGGCTAAACAAAGTTTGCCTTACCTGTTTTTGTCAACTTAATTTAAATGATTTAAATAGTGTTATAATACTGTAAAATTAATCATATATCATAAAAATAAGTATCATATGTGTTGCGTAGTGTTCAGTTTGAAAATGATTAATGTTTCACTGTGCATATAGGCTACTTTTACCTAGATGTGACAAAACTTTAGTCAGTAACACAATTATATTATGAGGCATTAAAAGTGTCAGTTCTCTTACGAGAGGTTCTCTCGAACTGCGTAATATCTTACGCTAGGGGAAAACCTCTTTTCCACGAGATATTGAAGCCAAAAATTATCCTTAATTTTGAATTAATGTAAAACGCGTTGCAGCAGCATGCAGACATAGGCAAGGCGGCTCGCGTGCCTATTGGCTGTCCTGCGGCAACTGCAGCAGCCTATCGAGAGTGGCCCTTGGTGACGTCAGATCCAATGGGGGCGCTTCGTGCCCACTACGTCACCTCCCGCCAAAGCGGGCGTAGCCTGGGCCTGTAAATATAGCTCGATGGGCTGATATAATCAGATTTTTCATCTCATTTTTCATCTCTTTAAAAGCAGCGTCTTTTTAAAGATGCCTCGTTCCTGCGGCTCGTGCCGAGCCACACTCAGCGACGGGGACCGCCATTTCATCTGCGTTTCCTGCCTGGGTAAGGATCATGCAGCTCTCGCACTCGCTGACGGCGGCTGCCATCCTTGCGAGCTATTGCCATGGTGACTCTGAGGACTCGCCTGGCATTTTTCACCGACTCTGCACTTCGTCTCGCTATAGTGCTGCATCATAAAAAGCGCCGTACTCAGCGGGTCCCGAGCCTTCTCCAGCCCGTGAAAGCTCACCGGTTCGCCCGCGAGCTTCACCAGCTTCACTCGAGTCGCTCACCGACGGACAACGGCCGCCGTCCGCCGTCGCTTCCAGCATTAATGACGCGTGGGCCCCGGCAAAAGATTGAGATAAAGCCCGAGGCCTCAAAGTCTTCCTAGCCCTCCTAGGAAAACGACGGTGTTTAAGTCTCGCCACGGCCAGACTTTCACCGAAACTTTCCGCTCGTTCAGTTCCAGAAAATGCGACTGTTCCAGTGTATTTTGCAGTAAACAAGCCGGTACCACGGCCCGCTTGCCTGCACACAAATGCCGTTTCCACGGCAACCCAGATAAATCACATAAGCAGTGTAATTTCTGGTATTCCGGCCACAGCTGATGGTGTTATGAGTGCAATAAAAATGCTCACAGCCCGGTGTTCATTTCTACACACAAACACAGCCCGCCACAGTACAGGGCTCGCACAAATAAAATCCACTCATGTCGATTGTGCATTAAATGTAGTGAATGTGCCCACAACCCAGTGCCCAAAAACACTACACACTGCATGTCCCACGGTTTCTGTAAAAACGAAACCAACACACATACAGTCAGCTCAGGCCGACGGTGTTATCAGTGCAGTAAATGTGCCTGCTGTCCCGCGCCCACATTCACTCACAGACATGTTAAGCCCCACGGGGCTTGCCCCGCTCTCTCTCTCTCAGCAAACTGCTATAAGGGAATCGAGCGCGACCAGGCTGCTCGCCACGATCGGCGCGCCCCCTGCCTCAAACGCTGCAAGCACAGTGTTTACGTTACAGCACACCAAAGCTCTCCTGTCGCCACTATGTTGCGGCCAGAGCCCAGATCTCATTCTACCCCTAGCTATTCATGCAAATGCATGGGCAAAGCTTCCCGGGGTATCAGAATGGGTGTTGAACATTATAAAAAGAGGCTATTCGCTGCAGTTCGCTCAACGTCCCCGCCGCTACACGGCGCGGGTCGAAACTACAGTAAAAACCGAAGTAGCCCATTTACTTCGAGCTGAAATAGCGAAACTATTGAGCAAAGGGGCAATAGAGCCTTTATCTCAAGCTCAGAGCGAAGGGGGCCTATACAGCAGATCTTTTCTGGTACTGAAAAAAGACGGGGGTCTCAGACCCATTCTAGATCTAAGACAGCTGAACAAAGTGTTTGTGAAACGCCAGTTCAGAATGCTCACAACCAGGAAAATCCTCATGCAGATTTGCTAAGGGGACTGGTTTATGTCAATAGATCTGAAGGACACGTATTTCCAAATACAAATAGCGTCACGTCACAGGCGATTCTTGAAATTCGCCTTCGAGGGCCAGGCATATCAATACAGTCCAACCGTTCGGCATGTCCCTGAACTAGCTGTCTATGACAGCGCGACTGTCGCCAGAGCGCAGACTGAACATTCAGCGCATCACGAAATCCTTCCGCTGCGGCACTATAGTCCCGCTCAAAAGGTTTCAGAAAATGCTGGGTCTCATGGCCTCAGCATCATCAGTTCTCCAGTTGGGTCTGCTTCGCATGCGCCCGCAGCAGTTATGGCTAAAAGCGCGAGTACGACCTCGGGCATGGGCCTCCGGTCTGTTTCGCCTGAAGGTCGATCAGAAATGCATCACAGCTCTGAAACCTTGGAGAGCAATCGACTGGTACCAGTCAGGTGTAAACCTGGGGACTTCCTCGAGTGTGAAAGTGGTGTCCACGGATGCCTCCACCTCGGGATGGGGAGCGCTGCTCGAGGGCAGACCGTTCTTTGGCCAGTGGTCAGAACGGGAGAAGCTCCTGCACATAAACTGTCTAGAAATGATGGCAGTCGACAACGCGCTGAGGCGCTTTTGTCCCCGAATAAAAGGTCACCACGTCTTGGTCCGCTCAGACAACATGTCAGTGGTGGCCTACATAAATCGCCAGAGTGGCGTCAGGTCCCGAAACCTTTACAGGCTGACGGAACGCCTCCTGGTCTCAGCACAATCTGCGCTCATTGAGAGCAGCACATGTGCCTGGTCACCTGAATTTGGGACTGTCCAGAAACAATGTTCCAGCAGGAGAATGGTCTCTGCACCCGCAGACGGTCCTACTGCTGTGGGAGACATTCGGCAGAGCGCAGGTAGACCTGTTTGCGTCCCAAGAAAACGCTCACTGTCCGAAGTTTTTCTCCAAGAGCAGGGATGCACTGGCCCACGTCTGGCCCCGCTGCCCACTCTATGCTTTCCCCCCCCGTCTCGCTCCTGCCTCAGGTATTGGAACGAATCAGGGAAAACGGATGCTCAGTACTACTTGTGGCTCAGCTCTGGAAAAACCAGGCTTGGTTCCCAGTTCTGATGCAGCTGACAAGCACTGCCCCATGGGCAATACCAACGAGGAAAGACCTCCTCTCTCAGGCCAAGGGCTTGATTTTGCATCCTCGCCCAGAGCTGTTGTCCCTGCACGCATGGGCCATCAACGGGTACCCGCAAACCTCCCGGAGGGAGTGTTAAACACGATCACGCAGGCTAGAGCGGCGTCTACTAGACGACTATTCCTCAAAATGCTCTGTGTTTTCTGGCTGGTGCAAAGCCCGAGGCTTTTCACCCCTAGACTGCGGGGTTACGGAAGTTCTCTCCTTCCTTCAAGAGCTACTGGATAAAGGCAGAACCCCATCCACGCTCAAAGTTTATGTGGCGGCCATAGCAGCGTTTACAAAACCCGCGACTGGCCAGTCACTGGGTAAGAACGATCTAGTCATCTGCTTCCTTAAAGGAGCTAAGAGGCTGAATCCTCCCAGACACCCCCTCAGTCACCATGTGGGACCTTTCCACCGTTTTGGAAGCCATGAAAGGTGCCCCGTTCGAGGCAATCCATTTGTCGGACATGAAACATCTGTCATTCAAGACAGTGTTTCTTATGGCTCTTGCTTCAGTGAAGCGCATAGGGGATTCACAAGCGCTCTCAGTAAGCGCGACGTGTATGGAATTTGGGCCAAATGACTCGAAATTCATACTCAAACCAAGACACGGATACGTGCCTAAATCCCTCAACACACCGTTCAGGGCTCAGGTTATTTCCCTGTCTGCCCTGCTGATTTACAACGAGGAAAAGGACGCGAGCTTCCTTTGCCCAGTCAGGGCATTAAGAGCTTATGTGTCTCGCTCATCTGTTTTCAGACAAACTGAGCAGCTCTTCATTTCGTTCAGCGGACGTGCTAAGGGACTAGCCGCATCGAAACAGAGCCTATCCAGATGGATAGTTGATGCCATAGCGCTGGCATACACGTCTAAAGGCTTGAAGTGTCCTTTAGGTGTTAGAGCGCACTCCACAAGAGGCATGGCCTCGTCGTGGGCTTGGTCTAGCGGGATTACCTTGCAGGATATCTGTATGGCGGCAGCCTGGGCCTCCCCGTCTACATTTATAAGGTTTTATAACCTAGAGGTTCCCGCCTTAGAGGCTAAACTACTTTCGGTCTAAAATCAGTATTGTCTGCCCCGTTGCTTCGGCTCAGAATACTAGAACCGCTTGAGCACCGCTCGCTGATCGATAAAATTACTCCATGGGCAAAAGTAAGACCCATACCGTTACACAGTTCAGGCCGAACAATTTCACCCTGACTGTGTGGAACACTGTTTATGTGATTAGCTCCCTTAGGACGCTAACTTATTGGGAATGACGCTTCTAGCCTCTCTTCTCAGACTCTTTGTGAGTCCCTGGTGATTATGCACTATT